GAAAAGCTGACTAAGCGCTCCGTGCTCAGCTTTATTGCCAAACTATATGACCCCTGTGGATTTTTGTCCCCATTAATCATGGTAGCAAAATGCTTCATGCAATTACTATGGACTCAAGGTCTTGATTGGGACGACCCTCTCCCTTCTGATCTCGCACATAAGTGGCATGTGTTCACTAGCAACACTAAAGACCACCTCGGTCAAATTAAGATCCCCCGAGCATTTCCGCTCGCTCACTCCTCTGATATCGAGCTTCACGGTTTCTGTGATGCATCGGAATGCGGTTATGCCGCGGTAGTGTATTTCCGGTGTGAATCTAGTGACAAAACAGTCATTGTGAAACAAATATTGTCTAAGACTCGTGTTGCCCCGTTAAAAAAGGTAACTTTACCCCGCTTGGAATTGTGTGCAGCTCACCTCTTATCAAAACTAGTGCATTATTGTGAAAAACAATTTAACTCTCTTACTACGAATACCACTGTATTGTGGAGTGACTCATCTGTAGTTCTTACTTGGCTACAAACCCCTCCATACAGACTAAAGACCTTTGTGGCTAATCGTGTAGCCCAAGTGCAAGAAATCATTCCCAGTTATCAGTGGCGGCACATAAAAGGGACGGAAAACCCCGCTGATTGTGCCTCACGAGGAATTCTAGCCTCATCTCTCATTGACCATCCCTTATGGTGGACTGGCCCACCATGGTTACAGCTCCCTGCGGCCAACTGGCCCCCCTCATGTTTTTCGCCGTCTGAACTCACTCCCACGGACGAAATTAAAGAAACTCCTCTTAGTGTACTTAGTGCAACAGTCGCCCCTTCGGAATGGGACTTATTGTCTAAATATTCATCTTGGTTGAAACTAACCCGTGTGCTAGCTTATGTACTACGATTCATAAACTATTCCAGGTCTAAAAACAAACTCTCTGGACACTTAAAACTCAGTGAATTAAATCTAGCGGAAGTGACAATTTTTAAACTAGTGCAAAAACTCCATTTCAGTGCGGATATTAAATTATTGAACAAAGGCTCAATATGTTCTGCACAATTACAGAAACTCACCCCCTTCCTCGACCCTAATGGTCTCATACGCGTCGGTGGCCGATTGTCACATTGTTCGCTTGCTCATGACATACGTCACCCTATTGTTCTACCCAAGTCTCATACTGTAGTGAATTTGCTTATAGACTTTTACCACCAGGTACACTTGCACTCAGGTCCGCAACTAACTCAATCACTACTCGCCCGAAAAGTGTGGATTCTATCGGCCAGGAGCGTTATCCGCTCGCGCATATTTAAGTGTCTTGTGTGCTTTAAAAATAAACCACGAAACAAAATCCCTCTAATGGGTGATTTACCTGCTCATCGGGTCAATCCTACTCGTCCATTCTCATCTACAGGCGTAGATTACGCCGGACCATTTAGTGTTCGCGTTTGCAGTCTCAAAGCTCTTAGACAGATTAAGGTCTATTTGTGTATTTTTATCTGCATGGCTACCAAAGCTATTCATATAGAGGTAGTCACCGATCTTACCACCTCAGGCTTCATTGCCGCTCTCACACGTTTTGTGTCGAGACGCGGACTCTGTTCCGATCTGTATTCTGACTGCGGAACCAACTTTGTTGGTGCAAACTCGGAATTACGCAAGGTAATCCGTGAAACCATCCTTACACCTGATTCGCAGGACAAAATTGTTCATTTCACCATCCCCAAAGGAATTAACTTCCATTTCAACCCCCCCTCTGCACCTCATCAAGGTGGCTTATGGGAAAGTGCCGTTAAAAGTGCAAAATACCATCTGAAACGGGTAATTGGTGAAACCATTTTAACTTTAACCCAATTTCAAACTTTGTCCATTCAAGTAGAGGCAATGCTAAACTCGCGCCCTCTTACAGCTCTTAGTTCAGACCCTTCCGAAATTTCTGTGCTGACCCCTGGACATTTCCTCATCGGAGCTCCATTAGTTGCCCTGCCGGAACCTCACCTGTCTGAAGTGCCCTTCAATCGTCTTCGTCAGTGGCAGCTTGTCCAGGCTTTTCACCAGCGTATCTGGAGGCGTTGGCAGCTTGAATATCTCCACTCCCTCCAGCAGCGATCCAAGTGGACCACCCCTCATGAGAATTTGAAGACCGGAGACTTGGTGCTCATTCACTCCAATTCACCTCCACTCACCTGGCCTCTTGGACGCATCGTCTCCACTCACCCTGGCGCTGATGGAACAGTTCGAGTCGTCACAGTGAAGACAGCTTCTGGGACTTTCACACGGCCTGTTCACAAGGTCTTCCCTCTGCCATGCAATGAAGACTAAGTCCAAGAAACCTACTCTATGTACATATTAGATTTAAGTGTGGTTTACGTTTGCTCTTGTGTTTTTTAATTAATTGTCTGTTGAAGCTGTAATGCTTCAAGGGGGCCGGAATGTTCGGTATTCATATTTTTAGAGTATTTAGAAATTAATCATTATGTTAATTAAGTCACTGGTTAATTAATCATGCTAATGTGTATATAAATCACCACATTTATTGTAATATTATTTAGTCTCAGTAACAATTTATTGTAAATAGACTCCCGCTTTCAATATTCAAATGAGATTGCTAAGCCTGCTCGAATTTCCCGCCACAGTAAGGCCTATTTTCCTGTACTACATACCCATGAATCACCTGACGCCGTGTTTGCTTCAATCGCATTTCCTATTGGCCATCGAATTCCTAGACCCCTCTAAACCGCAATTGCATTTTTCAAAGTGTGAAGCCGGCGATCGGCGTCTGTCTGTCCACGGTCGGCGTCCATAACTCACGGTGTATTCCGTTTCTCGTATCTCGGGACATTAATTGCCCATTTTACCTCTCTTAAACGTATTTTTAGGCTATAGATTAATTATATCTGGCCTCCCTCTCCTCTATAGTACATTTAACTATATATACATTTTAATTTCCCCCTTTTGTTTGTGATTAAATTACTTAAATTGTGATCTAGTGCTTTCAGACTCTTCAAACCTCAAGACAGTGTGTGCGCGTCCGTGTATTACTTCTAGACTTTCCGTACGTTTTCACCGCGACTTCCGCGTATTAGTGAGCTCTTTGTGATTATGAACTTGGGTGCGTTGCGTTCTCCAAAATTCTACAAAACAGAAGCACTCGGTCTAAGGACTCCGCCATCCGCCATCGCTCCACCATAGACGACGCCGCTGCCATACTCTCCACCTTTGGATAATTGGACTCAAGGTACAACCTTAAAGTTTTGTGTGTGGTTTAATTAGACTCTAAAACTAATCTCATTTGCCCCTCACAAGACATTTTATTCCATCTCGGGACCTCAGTGCCCTTCAAATTGCAGATTCGCCATTTTCTCTAATTTAATTATTTTTCTCTTGAACTATTAATTAGTTCTGGTCCTTCGAGTTATTAATTATTTTCATTTTCACCCATTACGCCCCCAACACTGTTATATGTATTTTTTTAGGAACACGGTACATGTATTATATACCATTCTTTTCGTCACGGAATTGTGCATAATTTGTATATTTTGAAAAATTATTTTGAGTTAATTGATTTGTGTTATAATACGGAATTATATATGAATATAAAAAAAAGTTTCTGCTTAATATATATGCAAACAGTTTTTTTTGTAAATTAAAATTTCATATCTAAAATTCATATAATATTATTCCTTGTTTTTTGCTGAAAAAAATCCTTATATATATAATATATTTACAAACTTATTTACTGTTTAAAAATGTGTTATAAAAAATGTTGCGCGACCCAAAAAAAAAAAACCCTTGCCACCACAGCATAAAAAGTGGTGGTCTTTTTATGCTTTTTCTTTTTAGCTCGAGGGTTAATAAATATCACCTTTGACTATTAATCACTAAAATAGCCCAGTGTTAAACAAAATTGACTGAAAGTGATGATGACAATGATAATATGATGCAATGTTGTTACACACAAATTTCACTGAAAAACCAATAAAATCTAATGAAACAGTTTACAAGCAGTGGCAATGTTTGAAAGTAGAGCTCCAAGTCAGAACGTTATGATACCTTGGTTTTTGTCTGTTTAAGTAAACTAAAACATTACAAACAAATTGATGATTTGCAGTAGCAGTAGCTGAAGAATGCACAATTAATCAAACATACATTTTACCATAGTCATGAGATTAAAGAAACATAAAAATATTCAACTATGATTCATGAGTTTGTTATTTCATAGAATGATATTTAGAAATTAGAATGCATAATAAATGAGAGAACTGATGTTCTCTATACTGGTCAATATGACATGCACAAATGATGCATACACTTGCAAAGTTTAATGAGGTTAATCTTTTTATTAGTTAGCCCTTTGAGTTTGAATTTTTTTTCATTTTTAGGCGAGTATAGGTTGCCATTTGACCAGTCGGGAAAATGGCACCCGGCGACCTTTACTCGCCGTTCGACCGCAAAGATAAAGCAAATATTTTGGTTACCAACAGCAATCAGGTTTTAAGAAATTTTATGTTTCATCCGCAATAAAAGTCACGAAGAAATTTTAAGAGGATTTTGAAACATATAAGAAGAATGCTGATTGATATAGGAGGGCATTATTAAATGGATCTTTTTGCTCACAATTAATGGAAACCATTTTAACCTACTAGTTTTGGAGAACATCTCAAAGGCTGGAATATATGAAATATTTAATAACGAGTGGCAAAATTTAAAGGAAAACCCCACAATTACTGAAAAAAAGATTTACACATTTTACTTGAAATTCTTATCTACTAAAGTTTTGGAGCAAACAATCCGCATTATTAATTACAAGTTATTTAATTAGGGTGTTAACAACAAATAACTACTTACAACATATTATCACAGATAAGAGGAAATACTGGAAGGTGATCAAGCCTAGTTGACTTTAGGAACTAAATTAGTGTATTAGTGTGAGAGTTAAACACTATGAGGGGTCGACATGCTCTAAGTCCGTGCACCATGCCAACAGCCAGCCTTGCCAACTGAAGCCAAAAACATACGATAGAGCGATGCCGTTGTAGAGCCAGGCACGCCAGCCGGTGCGAGTGTTGGCGTCAATGCGGCTCTCAATCTCCTGACAAAGAGTGCGGCGGTCGTGTGATCGGCCGGACCTTAGATCACAGATCAACCTTTTCTTGCACTCAGCGTCACAGGCTGGCCGCACCGGAGAGTTCTTCCAATAGTATCTGAAAGAAGAAACGGCTGAGTGAAACACTCGATAACCCTTAAGTTACAGATGTTCTGAGATTAGATAACATTTATACAACACACAACAGGTGAGGGTCAGTGAAGGATGAGTGGTGAATGAATGAGGTGACCAAGATCAGTGTGGAGTCAATCTCCACAACACAGCACTCTTTGAATGTCCCGCCAATCTCAACCCCTACCGCCGCTCGCGCATGCGCAGGGGGCAGACCGGGAAGACGAGTGAGGAAAACGTCTGTCGTGTGTCTGCTGTGAACCGAAATGGAAGGCTAAGTCCAGTGGGAAATGGGGGGACGCCCCCTTGAGGTATTGTGTCGTAGAATTAATATTTAATAATTAATAATATGTAATTTCAGATCATCTCAGCAAATCCATTATGTCATTCATTCCATGATTAATTATCAGTCATTAATTCAAATGTTAGATCACGTTGTGTCCAGTTGATTTACATACTAGTTATTTCATATGTTGAACAATAGATATATTCCTAATATATAAATGCATTAATTAATCAAACAATCATCAAAGCTGGCTTCAAGGCCTGTGAATTGCGGTAAATTGTCTCCTCTGTATTAATAAATGTGTTCAGTTAACGTTTCCAACAACAACGATTTGGTCTGGATCTTGAATCACATGACCAGGTCACCAAAATGTGGCATCATTATGCCACATCAGCTGGTTATATAGCCTGGACTAATTACTAAACACACAATGATAAAGGAAAGCTCAATCCAGTTTTAAATAATCAAGCTACAGACAGACCTTTTTCAGACTCAAAAATAGCAAAGTTCCAATTTTCAGGTGAGCACTATATTAACTCAGCATTAGGATGGTCTGAGGGAACAGACCTCAGCATCACTTTATCTGTCAGCATAAGCAAGGTATTAGAGATTGCAGAGAGAACATAGTAGCAAATGAGAACTAAAATTAAGGCAAATAAATCTCCAAGATGTCTATTTGTTTTCTTAGATAAAATATTATGTGACTTTTTGGTGACCAAGTGCCATAATGAATGTTTTACAATATGCTTAGCTTTTTAATTATAGGCCAAAGAGTAAAATAACTGGAATTTTAGAAACCGTGAATTAATCCCTTGGTAAATCATCATAGCACAAGTGCACTAAAAGATTTATTTTTCTTTAGACTGTATTTAGGCCTATAATTTATTTAAAAAACCAAAAAATAGTGGTGGATGAAAAATATTTTTTCATGAATCATTTTATTTCTGTAGCATTAATAGAAATTTGTAAATTATAAAGCCTTAGCAAAATGAAAAAACAACGAATGTAGTAGGCACCCTTGAGTGTGTTATTTTCTCTCCCCTTGATAGTCCTTGACAACAAAAAGCATCAAAATGTCTAACCAAAAATAACACAATTGCTTGGATGGGCAAAAGGTGAAGGTGTGAGAGGATTAGCATTGTTATTATACAAGGTCAAATCCTCATTCTCTGAAGTACAAAACCAAAACTTCCTTTACAAACTCCAAACAAAAGGCGACTAATCCCATCAAAGGATCTCCATCAACAAAAGAGTTTATTTCTGAAAGTTCAAAATTGTTAACATATGGACATAACACATGGATTGGTGAACATTAAAATAGGCTTGTGTCATTATATTTTTAACAATAATAATTTGTTAGTCTGTAAAGGTGTGTGTTATTTTAAAATTACTAAGAAATGTCATTATTTCTATAATTTGGCAATGTAAATCAACTTTCACCTCTTAACTCCCATTTAGTTTCCTTCTTTAAAACAGAACATTCGAGTTAGCTTAGGTGCCCCCTTTTGCTTGGTGCCCTATGCGACCACGTACTTTGCTTACCGCTTAAACCGACCCTGATTCAACCTAACTCTACCAACCTGTAGTACTGGTCGAACACTGTCTGGTTCTCGGCCAGTTTGTTGACCAGAGTATCTAGCTCCTGGGGTAGCAAGCTGGGTACCTGGAAGGCTGTTCTCATGCTGTACAACTTGTACCAGATGGGGTAGTCGTACAAGTTGGCTTCCTTTAGGTTCATAATCCATGTCTCATGGTCCACCACCATCTAGGGATAAGTTAATATTTCAAATAATAGCTAGTCCATTAACATTTCTATTTGTATAGATCTTGTTAAATAATATTAACCACCTTAGACTTAATAATACCCTGTCTGGCTGAAAAAAGTTGGATGGTTCGAGTGGAAGTTGCATGGATGTTTGGATTCTTTATGATGGTTAATTATAAAGAATGATAATTATTTACAAGCCAATAACTTTATCTTACTTCAAAACTAGTAGAAACCTGTTAAAAAAATATAAGGTCTTAGACAAATTAAACCATTAAACCATTCAAAAGGAAAATTGTCTTTAGTTTGGCTTAGGCTGATATAAAAGTGGCTGGTAACTACCATTTAAAACAGAAATTAACCTAGAACCTACGACCAATAACACAAAAACTAAACCAATAAGTTGCAACTGACACATAACTACAGTATATATTTGCCCCTAAAAACGTTCCTGTAAACAAACCAGTGACTCAAATGCCACAAATAGATAAAAAAAAATAAATTACAAGAACGTTATTCTAAGTATCTAAGTATGTGGTTAGAGTGACCGGCTGCCAAATATATCATTTCCGTGTTAACTCTTTGGGGATAAAACTAAACTCTCACCCTGGTTGATTTATCATGGTCTCCGTCCACGTAGTATATCCGATAGCCAGGGTTCAGGTCATTGTAAGGCGTCACTGAAGGTCCGATGAAAGCCACGTTGATAGCTCGTCCAAGGTCCTCGTTATCGTAGAACAATTCAAACTCGTCGTAATGAGTGTGACCGAAAAACTGTGCCGTGACTGTTGATTCATACCTGGGAAGATGAATGAATTACGTTTATTGAATGTCTAAACTAGTATAATTCAAAATACTCCCGCTGTAGTAAACCTGAAGATCTAGCGAATTTCCATTTGCCTGATTTCAATTACTGTAAATCCATTTCAATTAGTGATGGTCAGAACCAGATATCGGACTACGGGATCCAGTGGCAGCTCTAGGACCTTGTCAAGGAGGGGCTCCCGAGGGGTTTGGGGGGTGTGGAGCTTTTTACATTTTGAAAGCTGTTTGGACTTTCTAAAGCAATTTTCAACTCCTAAAACTGTGTCCAATAATAGTCCAAAAACTCCCATTTCACCTGTTGTTTGTCATGAGCAAGTAGACATAAGTAGAGTAAAGTATTTTTTTTCTTTTTTTTAATAGTTTTACCAATTTATTTAATAGATCAGATTTATTAGCCTAATAAAACTAGACTATTAAATAACTGTCACATGCGACGTACACATACATAAACATAGACCTCGTGCATTTAAACTTGACATAATAAGATTCCTCACTGTATTGTTAGTACTGTATACTTTATTCAACTCGGACGTAGAACGGGTACACAGCTAGTCACAGCTATGAATTTACACAGCTGGAACAGCTATCCTGAAGCCTAACCAATTAAGCCCCTCTGTATGTTAATACTATATACTATATATCTTTCGAATCTTAAAGGCTTAAGTCTTTAAAAATGATTCTCAATATCGTACACAATACTATTATCATTTAAACAAACTTAAACTATTTTCTTAACATACCTGTTGATGATGGCGTAGTAGTTTCTACTCCAAACTTTCAGACAGTCACTGTGTCCGGGAGGAATGTGTCCGATGACATGAACTTTCTCTCCGTTAAACTCAGCACTCTGTAACTCGTAAATGAACCACTGCAACTCCTTAGCTGGGTCCGTGCTGTTAAGGAGCAACCACCTACAAGACGGAGGGAGTCATCATAAACTGCTGTTAAGGTCACTCAATAAAAAAATCAAAAAAACAATCAACAAAAGTAATTTTATTAAGCTGCAAATGCATTTCAGATAGCAAAGTTGCTACATATAATATGGATTGTAACTACAATTTAATACAAGATTTCCCATAGATTGCTCCATTTTCTTTGCATTAGCATTGTACTCCATACCCAATGGAGTATCCATGTATGTTTCAATCCAAAAACAATATATTTTTCCCTGATTGATAAAGAGAATCGCAAACAATGATGAAACCTTGTACAGTAGACTCTCAGTAATCCGGCAGATGTAGGACCGTGATACTGCCAATTGTTATCAATAAAAACACTTCAAATGCACTTAAAACCCGTCTCTAAAGATCACGCGATCGGAAACCGCTATTGCCGCAATCGGGCATCACAACGATGACATTTCCGTGACCGCGGGAGGTGATGATAATGTCTACATGACCGCGGGAGATGTTCATGATTTTGCCGAAATCGCAGAAGACCTCACCCGTCAAAAGTCGCCGGATTACTGGGGTGCCGTAGTGGGGCAGTGCCGCATTATAGTGGGTCTACTGTAGTTACTGTTTCCTTTGGTATCATCGCAGCACTAGTCCTCAACACTTTGAAGGAGGCTCAAGCTCTTAAGAGTAAAATATTAGAAATTTAAATTTTAAAACATTTATGTAAATAGAACATAGGCCTATTTGGAAAATATTTTTGTACACCTTAATAGTTGAAATCAGTTAAATTATTTTGGAGGCTTATTAATTAACAAAAATAATTATGTTATTAATAAAAGGAGAAGCACCAGCTTGCACTCATTCGTACTCACCCTTAGTTACATCAATTGCTTGATTACATTGTTCAAACTTCACAGACAATGCATTACAGTAGTGTATTATATTTCACTAAGAATAACAAAAGTCAATGGAAGTATATAATCAATGGTGTAGCAAGACAACATACAGTCTACTAAACCCAAGTCACTAAGCACTAACCAGTTCTTATTGTTGCAGTAGTTCATATTGAGTGAGATGATTCTGAAGCCCGGTCGTACCAGGACGCTGTAGAAGGCTCCTCGACGTACCGTGCGTGACACCGACGATGGCAACCACTTGCGCCACTCCTTATCTAGCGCAGAGTACAACCAGTCAATACCATAGTCGTTCTGGACAAATGGAGGTGGGAAACTGTAACAAAGTTGTACATTTTCAGTTTTATTCAGAGTAAACGTAAAAATTACCACATTATTCTTAAGCCTGACCTTTATATAAACCTCCTCTTTGGCTTGTGAAACCTCAGTACTTCAGTGCTCAGTACACAATGCACATCTTAGGCTATTGTTAATTTTCAGTTTTTTTAAACAAATCTAATGTCAACAATCTTGGTTATAACTGATATAAAATAGATTTAACATTTAGTCTAGGAGCTAGGCAATGTCCCGTGTGCACTTATGTCCCCTGAGTTTTGTTGCGGGGCTTTGTTCAAAACCTATGGGAGCTAAAAAAACAGCTGGTCACGTGGTCCAGATCATGGTCGTTAGGCCACCATATTGGAAAATGGCCGCCAAATTGCTAGATTATTTGCTAATACGTATCTCCGTACCCAGTGGTCCGATTTTAATATTGTAAAGCTCATTTTACTCCTTAACTGAAGGCAAACAAATTTGGTCATTACACATGTTTTGTTAAACCCATTATTGATTGAGATATACGAACATTTTAAATAGGGATGGTCAAGTCTAGAAATTTCGGGAAATTTTCGGGAAATTTTAAATCTTGTTACACGAGACGAGATTTCTTTTTGGCCGAGATTTTTATCGAGACAAGAATAAAAAAAAGAAAAAAAAATTAAAAACGCCTGCAGAAAGTCAATGCAATACCTGCAATACAGGAGCGTGTTGTAGTTGCGTTTCCGTTGCGAAGGCACTCTTATTTAATTAATTCTTTAAATGTAAATATTTCTTTAATTATTTTAATAATATTACTTTAATAACATTTGAGAAGTTTTGTTAAGTGTAAGCAGTGTGAGGAATGTTTTATTACTATAAAAAGTCAAAACAAGTAACTATTTTATACAAATTGAAATTAATATTGCTTTTATTTTATGATTTATTTTATTTTAGGATAAGTTGAACTCTATCCTAACTGATATCACTATGGTTCCTAATCGTAGGCATTTTTAATAAGTTAGGCGTGATTAATAAAAAAATGTTATGCTGATGTTTTTTAATAAAAGATTGTAAATATTCTTGCCTATTATCATTATTTTTGTATTTAAACAGTCATCTAACAATGTTACAAAATCAGGTAAAAATTTTGAACTTGCATTTCCCTGTGTGTATGAGAAGGGAAATCCCGTCTCGATCTCGTCTCGAAATTTTATGAGAAATAAAAAATCTCGTCTCGTCTCGTCTCGAACTAAAAATCCAATCTCGTCCATCCCTAATTTTAAATCTATATATTTAAAAATAGTGGTTTTAAAAATAGGTGTTAAACAACGCCCCACAGCAAAACTTAGGGGACATACAAGTGCACATGAGACATGGCCTAGCGCCTAGCTAGACTAATTAACAAAAATTAAAATTAAGGACTGACCTGTTAACTGGAGCAGCCTCATGATTTCCCAGAGCAGGGAAAATGGGGATTCCTGGGAATAATGTTGTCATTTGCTCCACTGTTTGTTTCAGGACCATCAGATTCTCGTCTCGGGTTTGATTCCAAACGTCATGAGGCGGAAGATCACCAGTCCACAATATATAGTCAATGTCCTAGAATACGATTTGTGTATAAAATAGGAGAGTGGTAGCCTTGTTTTCTAAAGTAAACGTATACAGTGTGCTTATGGTTATTTTAAAAGGAAATGTAAGTGGCACACATTCATTAGCGTACTATCTATCAAAAAAGCTTTTCTGTAGAACCTATTTATATTTAACAAAATTTAGGGGATTGCTTATTGAGTTGGATAAGACAAACAATAGCATCTGATTTTAGGCCAATCCTTACTCAAGATTCTCTGTCAAAAATTTAAATTTGGTTTATTATTTGAGTAAAGTCATAGAAAAAAAGAATTAAATATAGACCGTCAGCTGTGCTGCAGTTACCATAGGTTCTAGCGCACGGACTACACGGCGCTGTGTAGTTACGGTATACACACTATGTAACTACACGGGCGCTTCCAGCGGTCTGCGCCAGAACCTATGGTAACCATGGTAACCGCAGCACGGCTGACAGTCTATATTTAATTCTTTTTGTCTACGGTACAATATAGGAGTACAATATAATAATTGTGCTGCTAGCCCAAGACTTGATGTCTTGTACTGTAACTTCTTAAGGAACAAGCTTAATCCTTGGCATGATCACAAAAATCTAATGGGTTTGGATCACACTTAAACTTAAAAACCTTTGTGATTCCTCCAGCAAAAATGCCACTGGCGTAAACTATAACAATAACAAAAGCTAAATATTAACTGTGCTAATTTAAAAAAGGTTACAGCTAAAATCAACCATTTGTCTGCTCACCGGGTGTGTGCTGGAGATATGTTGTAGCATGTGGTCGACAGTTCGCTTGGGAGAGTCACACTTGCGGTAGTCGCCCCATCGCCCCGCTGCGGCTGCTGGTGTAGGGGCCGGGCCATTGGTCAGACGGCAACACAACGGCTCTTTACAATCAGCATTGGTACCCTCCTGGTAGTACGGGTCATAGTGTGTGTCTGAGATGTGTAGAATCTTGAATGTAGCAGCAGTTGCCTACACAAACCTCTATACCATCATCATCTCATCGTTACAATTGCTGTTACCAATCTACCACTATTGGAAACCAAATTTTGCTCCTTTTAACTGAGACTTGCATTGAGTCAACTTCCGCTCCCATTCTTCTGATGTATTTTATGATATTGTCCTTCCCATAAACACAGTTTCCCTTCTTTTATGGTGGCCACAAAGAAGAGTGTCTGGTTAGAATAACAGGAAAGGGATGTATGGTGAAGAGAATGTAGAAGATTGTTCAGCAAAGAAGTCTGGTGTATATAAGTTTTACAAAGGAGGGACTGTGGAGAAAAAATCAAATGTTCCTTCTCCTGATTGGGAAGTTGTATATTCCTTTAACGTCGTTTTCCTCTGGTAATTCATATAACTGGTCTGGGCCTTCATGTGGAGCTCATACTTCTTCATAGGTTCATGTCCCCTATTTAAAATTTTAATATCACATACTATTCGTTTTTTCCAGTTTACTTTGGAATATAACAAAAATTTATATTACTTATAATGGTTTTACAATTATAGAAGACGTCATAGACCAACTTGACCAGACCACCAGTCTAGACTTTACTTCAGCCCGGTCTCGTTCGATTTTGTCAAGTTTTGTGTTTTTTGTAAACGTGTGTCCATTCTATGTTATCATGTGTCTTATGTGTTTAATTTATTGAACTTTGTTTATTAACGGACTTCGAACTAAGTGATTACCTCACACTGGTTCAGAAAAACCGAAACTAGTTGCCAAAACAGCAATAACGGAGAACTATTTACAGGTATTGTAAACCATTATAAGTATAATACAGTAATCCGGAGCCTAATCAACTCTTTAAAAACAAATTTATATTAATAAAATGCTCCTAAAAATGCAATAATTAAAACTATTTCGGATACTTTTTTTAAAGGGCGGTATCCATAGAACTTGATTGCAGCTCAACTATTTTAACTTATATAAATTTACAATGAACTTGACAATTACCGACGGAGGAGTTGCGGCTTGAACAGGAGGCTTGGGCACTGGAGGAAATACCACTTGCCACTCGTGAGTGGGATTATCCACATCTCCGCAAGCATCTCCGATCACAAAGCTGCAGATCTCTTCAGGGCCGATCTTTAGACGCTTCAACACGTAAACCACTTCTCCCTGCAGTCAAAAGACTGAATAAACTTATGGTAATTGTGCAAGAAGAAAATAGTTTTTTTTAGTTAGAAAATAGCTTTTTGAACCTGGTCTAACTAAATTATTTATTGAAAATTTATGAAAAAAACCAAGGCAAACAAAGAGAAGGTTTCCACTCAAAGGATATGATGTACAGAGATATCTATCCTGACTTATTGATAAGTTCATTCTTAGGTTGTTTAAATATTATAAATACAGTAAATTGTTTTAAATTAGAGATATTTAGGGACTTCTGTCCCTACAAGCTACTAGTCTAATCTAATTATCTAATTTGAAATAAGTTGAAATTATCCAAGTTCCATTATATTAAAGGCTTTTCATCTATTGGGTGACTTACCCCAAACAGCTCTGTGATTCCCTCACAGACCCGAGGCGTCTGAAGCTTGAGACTCACACAGAACTGGTACGTTATTTTGACAATATCATCTCTCGTCTTGCCCCCTCTGATGTAGTGTTGAAGCAGACCCGCACCTGTCATTTTAAACATCATTTTTATACACTGTTGGTGTTTATTGGTTTTAAAAATACTTGTATTGTATTCACAGAGCCAATCAAGTACTCTTTAAATGCTATAGGCCAATATTTTGATAGTTTAATACTTTTCTTTGAAATGGTGACCATACGAAAGTAGGTATTTTAAGTCAAGTATGAATGGAGATGAGTGTAGGATGGTGCGATCTTGTAGTCTCTTTAGTGACTAATGTCGACATATTCCTTAGACACAGCTGTTAGTTAATAACCCATAACTGAGGGACCTACAGTTTATGGTGGAATTCGAATCACATTTTTTGCCTTGTAATTAACAAATTGGTTTAATTATCAGGATAGTACTGCGGATAGTCGTAGTACTCACTAGTGCGGACGTTAATCCACACCAGTGAGTATCTCATCCACAGTGCATGACTATAATATCCACAATTTGTGACTCCTAGTAGCTGGATTACAGGACGACACCACTGTCATATTGTTATTGTAAGGCATTGGCCATTGGAATTCATTATGAATGTTTTATTCATGTTTTCCTAAGTTTGACACTAGTTTTTTGTGGACACGTACATAGTAAGAATGAGTAAAAAGTAGCAAAATGGATGAGTCAAGGAGAAACTCCAAACAAATCCACCGATCACCTTAACTTCTACCTGAGCTATGTACAATTTAGATGGTCTTCTCTCACCAGCTCTACTACAAACAGAAGGGTTATAACACACATCTGACCAGCCCAAGATACAAACTCTGAATCTATGGTGCTGATATGAGTCAAATTTAGAAGTACTACGATTGGTTTTTGTGCTTAAAAGTATGTGTTATACCGATTGGTCTAATCGATGGAAGAGTAGTCTAAGGCAAGGCCAAACTAAAAAAAACAGGCCTCAATGCTCGTCAAGCATGACGTCACGATAGAAGACGGCAATGACGTAGGTATTTATTTTCAAAGGAAAGATTAAAACAACCAGCTGATCACAAACAGCAAACATTACGTCATTGCCGTCTTCTATCATGACGTCATGCTTGATGAGCATTACAGCCTGTTTTTTAGTGTGGCCTTGTCTAAGGCTATCAGACAGCTGTTTTTTTTTTTTTTTTTTTTTTTTTTTTTTGTTTTTTTTTAGTTAGGATCACATAGATATAGCTATAAGTTATAATTGAAGGTTTAGTTGTGATGCGTGATGGTGTAACTTTGTAACTTGAAAGGTTAAAGAATCCTTGACAAAAGAGATTGGAGTGGGAAGGGGGAGGCGTTATATGTGCACAAGAACACACCTGCCTTGCAAGCTGTGCAGGACACCTTCGACATGACACTGGTCTCCACCTCCTGCACCACCTGTTTGAGGTTCATCAGGCGCAGAGCCTTGTCTACAATACGAGGCAGGTGTCTGCCAGACCTTGGCCCTGCGTCCAGAGTATGCAGCAGCTTCGTGTAGTTCATCTGCAACCAAACTCAGTTAAACACACTCCCCTCCATGTTTATCTTGCTTAAAGATCATCTACAGAAAATGTTTAGGTTAGGTTTGTCTGGTCTAAAATACCAATCTGCTAACTTAACTAACTTAATCTAGAGGACGCTTTGTCGCTTACCATTAGTAGCGACCTTATATCACCATTATCAACCTTTTAAATCAAATGAATAACTATTTTAAACTGAATAACATAAACACTTTACTACACTACTATAATCGCTTAATAAAGAGAGCTAAACTCGCACTTTGTGTCTGTTATTTATAGTGGTATGTATGAATGCAGGGTAAAAGTAGATTGGAGATGACCCGTGAAGCTTTGTTACTGACTAAGATGAACGGTTCCTTTAGGCCTGCAGTCCGGAACTGCACGGAACTGCACAGTTTGGAGTTTTTGAGACGGTTTTACTTTTTTCAACTCTTTTCTAAACGCACTTCTTAATTTTTTTTTTTAAACCACAGTGTCCTTTGTGGCTTTTAGGTCCGCCTTCTTCACAAAATCCAAAAATTCTTGATAGGCTGATTCCCTCATTCCCCTGTTGTGGTATTCTTTGCTTTTTATTTTCCAGATACATTCGTGACCTCGGTATTTCTCTATGAATTCGAGTGTCAAGTCTCTTGACGAGGTAGACATGATTAATGTGAAGTACTTAACTAAATCACCACACAACACTACAATGCCAAAATGCGAAAACTGTACTAACAAATCAACAAACAACACAGCTCCGATTATGCTTTTCACCAGTAGTTGACTCACAATGAAGAAAGGATGCGAATGCGATAATGCTTAAAATGTATAGGGGGAGGGGGGAAGCAGCACTGTCTTGGACTGCGGGATTCACCATACACGTTCAATTCGGCCTCAAGGCCGGATGTGTTTCCCATCCGGCCGTCCAGCCAACGATCTGCCTGAAGGAATCGACACACACGATCAGTTTTTCCTGAAAACCGGAACGTGTATGGTAGGCCTTAGGCAGAACAATTTATGAATTTAGTGTCCAATGTAAAACAATTAAAACACCTGGCTACTGGCTTTTTTTGAGTCTAAATCAATAGTCAATGTACTATCACAGCATTCAAATTACCACAGTTCCAAGTATATACTGTGGCACCAATATAATAAAAGTTACATACCTTGAGTGAGCGGAAGGCCTCCAATGTTTGTTTTTCCATCTCCTCCTCACTCCGATGTGGCAAGTTGTGACTTCTCGGGGACAAGAGAGGGTTCTCATCTGACTCGTTGCTCAGGAGTGCGTACTCTTGCCATGTCTTGAACTCTTTTGTGTTCCATACCTTAGCCGTCCACGTGGGGCCCGCTGCAAACGAGAGGCAAGTAATATTATATTTCACCTGAGGTCAATGGAAAACGAGCAAGGGTTAAAAAGACAATTTTTGCCCGTGTGATGAATTATATTTTTCATCATATTGGATCATTAATTCAATAAAATATGGTAGAAAACAAAATACTTTTTATGTAAATATAACCTCTTAAAATGACTTACAACTTGTTTTCAATTCTGCTAATGTAAATAAGTAGATGTTTAGTAAGTTGTGATTAAATCATGTTGTCTAGTACAAAGGTGTTACAGTACATTATACCATCGATATGTCGAGCGATTGACAACAATGCAACAATAGGCTAAAACCTTACCCAATAAATCAATCGATAAATGATTTCAATCGATACAAATGCCTTAATCAAAATTTACAACTCCCTAGAGAGTAAAAATGCTACTTTAGACCTTCAACACATGTATAAACGGCTGTTTTTGCTGCAGTGTGACAAAAAACATTTATACTGTAGTTATAATTATTATTCTTTAACTTCCGTTATTATCAAAAGTGTAAACTCAATTGGAGAGAATACAATTAATTCTAAAAAATACTTAGCACCAAGTAGCAGTTGGTGATTTTCCGCAGTTAGAACACCCACCTGAACTTGAACTTCATTAAGGAGTTAGGATTGGAGGTGGTTCTCTAGACAAAGACTGGAGACTAGTTTGGGGGACTAAATAGTTCTTACAGGTCGCAGTGTAGTCTTCCCCCCAGGTATCATCAGTATCAGTATAAGAAATGTTTACAGTAAAGTCTCGATTGTCCAACTTTACTGGTCAAGACATGGTGAGATAAGCAGAAAGTCTGGGATCACAGAAAATAACAAAAACCAAAAATAAACATGTTAAAAATCATTAAATTACTGACAATTCCTATTTGTCAAATTTATTTAAGGGTTCGAGTTTTTCTTTGGTTGTAACCACTTTTTTCTGTTTGGATGCCATCGTCATAAATAACATAAAATACCCCTACCGCAGCAAACCTGCAGACTAAGTAGATATCAATCCTTCTAATTGGATTTGTAGGCCTACGCAAATATTTCCAGAAACAAGACATACTTCCCATTTAAATAACATTAGATTTAATGAATACCTAAGTTTGCAGCTACGGTGAGAGCAAAAAGTGTTTTTTGACCAATATGTTAACAGCAGCCGAGTAGCCTAAAGTTTGAAATAAAAGATTTGCCAAATTTGATCAACATATGGCCATAAAGAAGCAAAATACAACAGCTTTCTTTTCCTCCATGAGAGAGTTTTTGGAATATTCTCTGTAACCTTTTATTGTACACAAAACCTTCAATATACAAAATTATTTTTTTCAAAGCTCTACAAGATGGTTTGCAACAAAAAATGGGCTCTCAATTTTAAGAAATTTCAAAACCCCATAATACCCAAGACTTCCTCTTGCTGATTCGCAAACGCATTCAAGTTGTGAACCTGGTGTTCTGCTATTCAGACATTCAGTTTACTGTCATAGTCATGGGTAGCTTATGACAATTGAGAAAGAATTTGGAATTGATGCTTACTTCACTTCAAACCTACAAAGCGTATGATTGTATTGTAAGAGACTGCATAGTTGAGCAACGTTGTTTGTAAAGTAAATCCCTAATGATTTTAGTTTTGAGGTTCTTCCATGTCATGATATACTGTAATTTCAAACAAAAAATTAACTTTTTTTGATTTAAAATTACAATTCCCTTTAATATAAACACATTGAATGAAAACAGCAGTTGATAAAAATATGAAAGTGACATTAAAACTGAAAGTACAGTGAGTTTCTTAATTTGCCTACTGTACAGGCAGAATGCAGTGTTGTTGGCTAATTGTGTATACTGTCCATGCTAAATACACAGCTGATTTATAGCAAGGGAAAGCGGACACACTTTCATTGGCTCAGCTGATCTCCCGCTTGGGGCTAAGCTATTATCAAAACCCTACTTTGAGGTCAACAGGTTCTAAAATAACTGATTAGTGAAGTTACATATTTTTTTATATAATTCAGTGATAATCGCTGTTTGCCGGACTAATAATAATCACAGAGAAATTACGAGAACAGGACCTAAATGTATGAGTCAGCTTAAGTGTCAAATTCATTTCTTCCCTCAAGTGTGTGACACTTTTATACTTTTGTTACCATGTTAAATGTGTATATTAAAAATAACTTGCTGTTGGCCCACACTATGCACAGGGATCAAGTAGTCAGTGAAAGCAGTGGTAGCAGCAAAGTGCCACTTCGAACACTAGTTAGTTACACAATAGTGCAGCAAACGCAATTTGCTTTTGCTTTACATATTATATTTCTCCTACAGTTACTATAAACCATATAAATAAATTTGTCTTTCAAGCATTATACAAGACGTTTTTAGGTTTAGGTAAAATCCAAGCGTTGAACGAAATGTAAAACGCTGACCAGTTGATTGTAGTCGTAATATCTGTAAGTGTTGCTAATTATTTTCAAGCGTCCCCGTATTACATGCCTAATAAACGAACACTTTTTTGTGTTGTTTGGTTGGAATACTGGAGTAAGACAAAAGTATGAAAATTTATCAATTAGCTTCTTGGCGTACTATGATCATTGCAAGGAAGCCCACTTTGCCAAGTAACCGTAGGATTATAACTATTAGGACAAACTTTAGTGTCAGCATTAATTTAATCTGTAGAAGACTGAAATTCAAAACCAAACAGTGCCTTTTAAAATTCCCTTCCTCTCAAAATTATCTATTTGTTCAACAATTAGATTTCAACAATTAGAATTCTGAAAATCTATCAAGTTAATTCATTGTTTTTGACAAAAGACTGAATAAAAATGGCTAGACAGTTTTACAACTCAACACACATCCATGTGTGGATGACCAAAAGCACAGTGCACAATGACTGTGACACAGATTCAAGGCGAGCGAGCTTCTCACTATGGTTACTGGTTCCGCTTTACTCCCTAAGTTAGGTCAAATTTCAACATTTTTCCGAGGGACTCCAAACCATCAGATTACAGCATTTACCTAAAATACAATAATGCAATCTTCTCTTTTTAAATAGTTCACACTTGGGAATTATTTTTGTTCACTGTGGTCATAATTTTTTAATCTCTTTGCAAAAAGTGGCAGTTTAGTTCCAGGATTGTAGGCCAAACACTAAATCCTTTTTTTTAAACAATCAATCATGATTTATTTTATTATTCTCAATCAAATGTTGCCAGCGGAACTTTGAGAAACAAATAGAAATAACAGAATGTATATTATGTTGACTAGGATTGTGAACTTTATAAGCAAGCATAAACAGAGTACTAAAATAGTAAAAAAATCCTTTCAAAGAAATTTTCCCTCTCTTTGTCAAATAATGTTTTTCATTTTCTTATTGTATACAGAATGTCCATAAAATGACAGGACAATTGTCAATACACTAGTATAATACTAAAACTAAATAGTAATATTAAAATACACAAACAAAATAACTTTAATATTAGACAAATGAAATGAAATTTTAATTTAATTTAAACCAATTAAAATTAAATTAAATAAAAATTGAATCAAATTCAAAGAGATTCTGTGCCCTCTTGGTAGCACAGAGCAACCCAATGCTGTAAAACTTTTGGTTAAAAAGTTATTGCAAACATTTAGGATTTTCCCCATAAAATATCATACCGCTTATCCAAGATAAGGGTTGTAGTCAAGCTAAAATTGGAGAGAATGTACCTTTATCTGACAAGGCATATAAATCTCTCAAACAGTAATACCACATCTGGTTGGATGAATAACTCATTACCTTCCATCTAATACAACACTTTCTAGACAAACCCTAATGACTATATATACAGGGTTCGTAAAAAGTCTGGAGACCCCCTGTTAATTTTTTAACAGACCATACTAGAAAAACTAAACTCGGCACACCTTTATGGTATGTTATGAAGTACTTTTTGGGCATAACCGCCACTTGGTGTACATCCCCAAAATGGGGGATTTTTGGGGAAACTAAAAAATTTTAAATGGTAAGACCCATCGAGTGACCCCTCATTTTGAAGGTCCTGGTAAAAGAAAACCAAAAACGCAAACTAGAGGTCTCTATCTTAATCCAATAAAAAATGGCAGCCAATTGAAATTCTCAAAGTTAAATTTAACTTACAGCTCTCTAAGTCTGGAGACCCCTTGTAAATTTTGTAACGGCTCACACTAGGAAAACTAAACTCTACACACCTTTATGGAATGTTATAAAGTACTTTTTGAGCCTAATTGCTACTTGGTTCCCAAACTCAAAATGGGGGATTTTGGGGGAAACTAAATAATTTTAAATGGTAAGCCCCATTGAGTGACCACTCATTTTGAAGGTCGTAATAAAAGAAAACTAACAACGCAAACTAGAGGTTTCTATCTCAATCCAGTACAAAATGGCAGCTGATTGAAATCTTTAGAAATCAGAATTAACTTGCAATTTTATATTCAATCAGCTGCCATATTTTACTGTGTTACGATAAAGACCTCTAGTTTGCGTTGTTAGTTTTCTTTTATTACGACCTTCAAAATAAGTGGTCACTCGATGGGTCTTAACGTTTGAATTTTTTTAGTTTCCCCCTAAATCCCCCATTTTGAGTTTGGGAACTAAGTAGCAATTAGGCTCAAAAAGTACTTTATAACATGCCATAAAGGTGTGTAGAGTTTAGTTTTCCTAGTGTGAGCCGTTACAAAATTTACAGGGGGTCTCCAGATTTTTTACTAACCCTGTACCGGTATATATATATTTGAAAAATAGAACTATATAGTTTTACCTTGTGATGTGCCGAGCAATGTAGAAATGAAGAAAAAGAAGACAAGAAACATCCCACGACACATCGCAAACTGAAGCCTTCTGTAAAAAACCAGTTAAATATTAGATAGCAAGTAGCTTTGGACTGGGAACGTGGCAATGGCCTTGTATTATCTGCGATTAGTCATAAAATAATTGCTGAAATATGTTGAAACGTCGACTCTAATTGAGCTATTTATCAAACTAAAACCTGGTGTCAGAAAGGGGATTTTCACTTGCGTTAAGGAAACACTATTGCAAATATTGTAAAAAATTGTTCGAAACTGTCAATAAAAAATCAACTCAGTAGCCCAACAGACACAATAATTAATGCCTGTACAATTTTTTCAGAAAATATGAATTCAATGAGTGTGAGAAAAATCAACATAAGCTATTGGAAAAGTTTTGGTTTATGTCAACAGGAGTTATGGAAGTGGTGTTACTGATGGGTAAAACCTTACTTAAGTATTTTTCTTCTTCATTTGTAAAATTCTATTAATAATTGCATTTTGAAATTTAAACATATTATCTAATTTCTCAAGTTTCTTCTTAAGTTATTTATTTTCTACTCAAGTAATATAGCATTTTCTTATAGAGTTAACCCCCTAACCATTTTAGGATCTGATATTGTTTTTGAGTTAGGACACAAATATAAAAAAATATGCTAAAATAATCAAATTTAAATCATCAATTTAAATTGTATCAGCGAGAGAGGCAACAAAGTCCAGAATTCAACTTTGACAAGTAGTGATATTGTTCAAGATTGATATGGTGACGGTTGAATTTAAAGAATAGAATTTTATGCTTTTTATTTTCCAAGGTAAAAGTTAACTCAAAGATCAATAATTTAACATGACAAACACAGTTATCTAATTCTAAGCATTTCCAAACATACTTTTTCCTATCTTTAAAATCTTCAACTCATTCAGTGATTGCTGGGGCTCCACTTTCGCTCAATTGTACTACTGACCTTGTCCAGTCATCATACATAGACCAGCAGCGGCTATATGGATATATCACACTTTCTACCATACAGTACACGGTAAAACAAGTATATATTAACTTCTTGATCAGCATTGTACGTTTTATTAATTTTATGGAAAGTAAATAAAAGAAAAGTCTATAATACTTTTACTTTCCATAAAATTAATAAAACGTACAATGCTGATCAAGAAGTTAAAATATACTTGTTTTACCGTGTACTGTTGGTGGTTACTTTCGCTGCTAAATCTTAAGAACTAGCAATAAAAGTCCAATAAAAGAAAAGTCTTATAACACTTAATTTTTTTAAGTGTTATAAGACTTTTCTTTTATTTACTTTCCGTAAGTATATTTTATCACCTTGTAAAGATCTACCTAAAGAATTTTGGCAAAATGAGCAAGACAACATTTTTCTAAAATAAAATGACAAACAATTTGTATGAGTCTGACCATAGACTATGGCTATAACTAGACGCTCCATTCCTATTCTAAAATTGTTGCCAGTTTTGGAATAAACATAATGTACCTAGTATACAATACCGGCTTCTATCAAATATCTTAACGTTTTAATAAAGACAAATAACCCTCCACAACCTGATATGTATGACTCCTTCGTTAAGCTTGTCCAGCAGGTCTCGAGAAAAATGATACCTAGAAGCTGTCGAACCCACTACATCGCAGGACTCTTTGAAGAGGCAAAGCCACTGCTAGAATGAAACCAAGGTCTCTTTGACAATGATCCCTTTGCTGAGGACACACTTCTAGCAGGTGAAGAGCTTATGTCAGTCATTGCCGAAAATCGCAAAACTAAGTGGTGTGATCTTGTGGAGAGTTTAGATATGCAGATGAACAGCAGACGGGCCTAGAAGATCCTCAGAGATGTGACAAAACCAAAAGACAACTTTACAACAGTTACTGCCGATCAAGTCGCTACCAACCATCTTTTAAATGGCAAAACCTATGGAAGGAAATACCGGGAACCTGTTGTGCGTTATGTGGCAAGTGAGAATCACTTCCTGGAAGAACCATTCACCATGTTTGAGCTAACTGCAGTCATTACCAGCTTAAAGACTAATAGAGCTCCAGGTATTGACGAGATCAGAGTCGAACAACTAAAGAACCTAGGTAAAAATGCCATGCAATGGTTGTTGAGCCTCATGAACATGTGCGTAAGCCAAATGCATATACCAAAGGCATGGAGGAAAGCTCGTGTGGCTGCACTGCTCAAACCTGGGAAAGGTCCAAACGATCCTAAGAACTTTCGACCTGTTTCTCTCTTATGCCATGCATATAAAATATTAGAACGTCTGATACTCAATCGAATCAGCGATTTTCTGGAACAAAAGATCATTCCACAACAGGCAGGCTTTCGATCAGGCAAGTCTTGTTGTGGCCAAGTTTTAAACCTGACCCAGCACATTGAGGATGGGTTTGAGAGAAAACAGATCACCGGTGTCGCTTTTGTAGATTTAACAGCTGCCTACGATACTGTAAACCATCGAAGACTCTTGGGAAAAGTGTACAGTATTACCAAAGACTATCAGCTGACTTTAATGATAGGCACTTTTCTTCATAACAGGCGGTTTTTCGTGTCCCTTCAAGGCAAGAAAAGTAGATGGAGGAATCAAAGAAATGGATTGCCTCAGGGTAGCGTCTTAGCCCCAGCTCTTTATAACATTTACACTAACGACCAACCGTTCCCAAACACTACACGTCAGTATATATATGCCGATGATATGGCGCTGGCGGCACAAGGTAGGAGTTTTGAAGAGGTGGAACAGAAGCTGACTATGACTCTAAATGAACTTTCCCAGTACTATGACGCAAATCACCTCAAGCCGAACCCTGCTAAGACCCAAGTTTGTGCCTTTCACCTAAACAATAGAGAAGCAGGCCGTGAGTTGAATGTGAGGTGGTGGGGAGACCGTCTTCAGCACTGTCCTACACTCAAATACCTTGGTGACATACTGGACCGCACACTGACATTTAAGGCACATTGAATTGCGACAAGAGGTAAAGTCTCAGCGAGGAATAATATCATCAGGAAGCTCACCAGCAGATGCTGGGGTGCTAACCCTAATGTCCTCAGAACCTCAGCTTTAGCGCTCAGTGTGTCGGCTGCGGAGTACGCTGCACCAGTATGGAATGCATCGTCACATGCAAAAAAGGTTGACATTGCAGTCAATGACATGGCTCGGATTGTAACTGGGTGTTTGAAACCAACCCCAGTACACAAACTCTATCCTATCATAGGGATCGCCCCTCCATCAATCCAACGTGATGTTGCTGCCGACGCAGAAAGGACTAAGCAAGAGACAGACCCTCGTCACCCATTACACGGCCACCAACCTGCAGAGCGACGGCTTCGGTCCAGAAAGAGATTTTTATCATGGACACGAGTCCTGGATGGATCACTCTCAAGCAATCGGGTGGCAAGGTGGGAGGCCACGTTGACTAACCCTCCCATACCAGCCAGGGAGGAACTGGCTCCTGGTGGAGGCCTTCATTACACGGTGTGGAAGACCCTAAATCGAATTAGGGTCGAGGTACCAAAATGCAAGACAAACATGCAGAAATGGGGTCTCTTACCAGACGAAGAAAACATCTTGTGCGCGTGTGGTGCTGTTCAGGATCCTGGCCATCTGCTGATCTGCCCACGCCTAGACCAGTCTTGCACATTAGATGATCTTTTACATGCGAATGACAAAGCCATATCGGTAGCTAATTTTTGGAAAAGCGAAGTCTGATTTCCGGACACGGAAAGTAAGTAATAAAGCCAAAAAGGATTAAAGAATAGATTGTTGCATCTTTATCTTTTACATCACATCAATTAACTCACATCAATAAGAAAAATTGGCATAGGGGGAGAACTAAATTGTATACTGTAGCTCACTCTGAGATTTACATTTTAATTGCAACACCTCATTACAGTGAAGTAAAGCACATGTAACTGATACAACTTAAGCCAACATATCTATAAACAAGACAAGAAAATATAAATTTGTTCTCCAAAGAATAACATAATGCACTTATGCGGTGCATTTATAATGTAGGCCTACCTCAGAAATCAGTTTAGCAAAATAAAAATATACTCTTCATTAATTAACAAGTTTTCTTTTATCTGAATGTAAACATGAGTAGGGTCAAAAATAACTAATTTAATTAAAAATGTAATGATTCTTTTCAGACCCAGGTTTTGTCACATTAATAAAATTATTGATAATCATACTACTGATTACAAAAGCACAGATATATATATATATATATACCTATATATGAACAAATTAACCCTGGAACTGCACTATTGAGAAGAGCTACTGTACAAAGAAAAGAATAAAAATCTATCAAATCTTTAATCTTAATAAAATCAAGAGCTGAATCACAAGCAATATTGACGAAACAGCTGATTAGATTTGAGTTTGTATCAGCTGTTATTGAGGTCACTGAACCATTCGACCAGCTGATTTGTGTACCGTTATGTCTGGGGAGCCTACACCCGGCATTTTCAATTCAACTCCTGAATAGTAATGCACGTACTGGATACATAATGGAAATCAACATAATATCTGATATTTGTGTCATTCGGTAAAAAAAGGTATTGGAAACAAACAGTTTGAAAACTTACAATGATTAAACTACTTCTACAAGCATTTACCCCTGCTGAAAAACATGCATTATACAACGGACTTCAAGTGTTTTCCGTTTCAATAGTTAGTTGTGTATTGTATTAATCATAATTAATTTAATCAGTGATTTTAACCATATAATGGTATTAGCAAGTCTACTGTGGTAAACAAAAAGACAAAAGACAAAATTATTAGGTATTCCAAACCAATAAATATAAATTAAAAATGTGTTTTTATTCATTTCAATTGCAAGTTGCCAATCTTTACAGATAGACAACTTAATTTGTTCAATATGGTGATACAGTAGAACCTCTTTAATCCGAACCCCCGTAATCCGAACGTCCACTAATCCGAACCCCTCATTGCTGTACTCTATAAACTGTACAGCAGTTCTTTATTGTATACTTTATTTAATGTACAGTACTGTTTATTCACCACGTTTACTACCGTATTAAA